AAAATCTTTGTTAGAGAAGAAATATCCTCTTATTTTTCTAACAATGTTGAAATTATAATCCTCAATCAGATTCTATCCAATCCTAATGAAGAAATTCTTCATGTCATTCGTAACAGCCATAACGAATTTTGGGAGTCACACACAAAAAAAAAGAGATTTCAGCTATGAATACGCACTTACTTGCAAATTCATCTATTTCCTTATATACTTTCTTAAAAGAAAAAGATGATATGAAACTTACCCAATACATGTTCAACGAAGAGTTGAAAAAAGAAGTTGAAGGTTTCCAGTTGTTCGAACGCTATCCGAACTATTTCAGAATGATAAAGGAACAATTTAAAAGAGGACAATATAAAAGGAAGGAATTATTCAAATTGAATGCTCTATTTGCACATTCCAACTTAAGAACATTGCATCCTGCCGATAAGATTGGAAGTCTTGTTACTTTAGAGGATGTTAACTCTATTTATATAAATACACCTATCCCCCGATTTACAAGGTACTTGTTTTACACGTTTTCGCTTTTACACGGTTTTCCAAATAAGTTTTTTTTTGTTGTTTTTATCGCACTATACTAAATGCTACTGTGATTGAACACATGCGCTGTGTACACATCTCACGAGGAATCCCGAGCTTATGTGCTGACTACATATTTTAACCTGTCAATGCATTTTATTTTTATTTCTATGTACACCTATCCCCCGATTTACACGTTTTTCTCAGGAACGTATCTACCGTGTAAATCGGGGGATAGGTGTACCGCCTTGCTATCAAAATCCTTTTAGACTTTCTTAAAATGTAGATAAATCAATTAATACCTTTATTAAGACCAGTTCTCTTATATACAGGTTCTCCCCAGAGAGATACAACAATGTATATAGAATATAAAAACATGTGGAAGAAGGTCCTCATATCCACATGTTAATCTAGGAAATTTCCAGTTTGTCTGATGTAATGTCTCTTGGGTCTTGCCTGGGTCGATGGCTGACTATCTCTTAGAAACTTTATCTTATTTAAGATTACATGATCTCCAAACTGGCGCGTTGAATTTTATATAATACATTTGTGTGGACTGTAACATTTATTATAATTATGGTACATTGAAACCTAGTGTATATATTGACATTTATATTACTATACATATATATGTTTATATATGTCTTAATTTAATATATATCATTCTCTTCTAGGAATTAATAAAGAAAAGATATCAGGGCGACTTTGAGAAGAATACGTATCGGAAACTGGACTCCCCTTCCACTCTACGCGTGTATTGTCACATGCATTGACTTGTTGACTGGTTCGACTCAAAAGGAATAGAATTTTTCAGACAAGGAATTCGAAAATTGCCTGAAAGGTGGTCCGAGTGTATAGCTAATAAGGGCAATTACTTTGAATACAAAATCTTTTGTTGTATGGAATTGGTAAACTTTTGAATTCACTGAAAATTTTCGCGTTTCATACTAATAGACCTGGTATAAAGAGAGTGTGTGAAATCTCAATTTTCCTATATTTAATCATATTGATATTAGGAAATTTAACGTCTTTGTTTTTATCAGGATCTAACGATTGTACTGTAATGGGACATTGTAGCTTGATAATACTAGTTTAGTGTTATAAGGTCGACTTATTTTTTAGGTTAAAATTGATGAATCTTCACATATGGACTGATATGTTCTAATATACATAATATGTTCCCTATAAAAACTGATCACTAATATCCACGACGAAGTAATACAGAGTTAATTAAAACAACAAAAACTTTATTAGGGCATTCCGCCTTGTAATGATTCGTCAGACAAAAATAACAAAAATAATGTAAAAGTGAAACCAAATATTTACATAATTTAGGATAAAAAGTGAGTTGTTTTATATACATTTGAACCACCCTGTAAAGGACACCTAATTGCAGAGCCAAAGTGTCCTTTAAGGATAGGTGTCCTCTTACCTGACAGTTTCTGAATAGTAAAAATGGTAATTTTGCAATTGATATCTGTCCTTTATAGAGAGGTGTCTTCTAGCGTGAGTCTTCTCTCATAGAGGCTCTACTGTATATATGTTTTGAGTTTGAAGTTGATCATAAAATAAGTTATTTTTTTTACACAATAAGAAGCAACTGTTTACCATCCGGATTGAGATGTGTGGCACTCTGATAGGTAACTTCCCTGGAAAAACAACACAAGGTTCTAACGAGGTTAACGCAACGGATGACGTAATTGTCGGATAAGCCGTCCTTGGGTCTCCCAGAGGGGCAAAATCCGGGTATCTTGAGGTGGTAGATAAGCCAGCATCGTTACTGTCTACCGTTGGGAAAAGTAAGTCGACTCTGTGACTCCTTCTCTGTTATTGACTGAGGATCATTCCACTACAGGAGTGTTTACTTTAATTCCACTACTGGAGGGTTTACTTCATCTTCAACTTCAATCAATCACTGCTATTAACTGAGGACCATTCCACTACTGGAGTGTTTACTTCTACTTCAATCAATCACTGTTATTGACTGAGGACCATTCCACTACTGGAGTGCTTACTTGTACTTCAATCAATCACTGTTATTGACTGAGGACCATTCCACTACTGGAGTGTTTACTTCATCTTCAACTTCAATCAATCACTGTTATTGACTGAGGACCATTCCACTACTGGAGTGTTTACTTCATCTTCAACTTCAATCAATCACTGTTATTGACTGAGGACCATTCCACTACTGGAGTGTTTACTTCATCTTCAATTTCAATCAATCACTGTTATTGACTGAGGACCATTCCACTACTGGAGTGTTTACTTCTACTTCAATTAATCACTGTTATTGACTGGGAACCATTCCACTACTGGAGTGTTTACTTAATCTTCTACTTCAATCAATCTCTGTTATTGACTGAGGACCATTCCACTACTGGAATGTTTACTTCTACTTCAATCAATCACTGTTATTGACTGAGGACCATTCCACTACTGGAGTGTTTACTTGTACTTCAATCAATCACTGTTATTGACTGAGGACCATTCCACTACTTGAGTGTTTACTTCTACTTCAATTAATCACTGTTATTGACTGGGGACCATTCTACTACTGGAGTGTTTACTTCTACTTAAATTAATCACAGTTATTGACTGGGGACCATTCCACTACTGGAGTGTTTACTTCTACTTCAATCAATCACTGTTATTGACTGAGGACCATTCCACTACTGGAGTGTTTACTTCTACTTCAATTAATCACTGTTATTGACTGGGGACCATTCCACTACTGGAGTGTTTACTTCTACTTCAATTAATCACTGTTATTGACTGGGGACCATTCCACTACTGGAGTGTTTACTTCTACTTCAATTAATCACTGTTATTGACTGAGGACCATTCCACTACTGGAGTGTTTACTTCTACTTCAATCAATCACTGTTATTGACTGAGGACCATTCCACTACTGGACTGTTTACTTAATCTTCTACTTCAATCAATCACTGTTATTGACTGAGGACCTACTGGAGTGTTTGCTTCATCATTTACTTCTACTTCAATCAATCAATCACTGTTATTGACTGGGGACCATTCCACTACTGGAGTGTTTACTTCATCATCTACTTCAATCAATCACTGTTATTGACTTAGGACCATTCCACTACTGGAGCGTTTACTTCTTCAATCAATCACTGTTATTAACTGAGGACCATCCCACTACTGGAGTGTTTACTTTATCATCTACTTCAATCAATTACTGTTATTGATTGAGGACCATTACACTACTGGAGTGTTTACTTCATCTTCTACTTCAATCAATCACTACCTTTATTAAGACTTTTAGACCATAATTGTAGGGGGGTTGGATTTTGATTCATTCAAGTTGAAGACTTCATCAACCTTTTATAAAAGTCCATTGTCTTTTTGACATTTCGGTGATCCACTATCTCTCTTTTCAAAAAAGGTGAAAAGTGTATTATTTGTATACAATAAGCTTTCTTCCTTTTTTGAAAAAGGCGACAGTGGATCGCCGAAACGTTTAAAGGACAATCGATTTTTTAGAAAAGTTTTATGAAGTCTTTATAATATAAATATTATTTTAGTCTTATATATATATATAGATTCTCCTGAGAGATGCAGTAAATAAGTGGGAAAAGAGAGGACGAAAGAAACAAAGTTATATGGGAAATATGTAAATAGGGAACTATATAATTATTTTGATAGAATCATATATACATATATCCATATTCTACTTTCTAGAAACATCCTGATATTCATTATTTACATCAATTCGCTTATCCAGTTCTGATATATATTAAAGTTTAGTGTGTGTATCTCTATAATAATGAATAAAAAATAAATAAATAAATAGAATAGCTCCCAATAATATTTATGTATTTAAAACGACGTGCGCTTTCAGAGAAAATGTCTTTCTCAGGTTACAAAAACGGTTTATTGATTGATACCAGACAATACACCAATACCTCGCTTTGCGTCGTTTCGTTTTGCGTTTTTTTTTTTTTTTCGAAGTTGCGTTGCGGCTTAATTTTTACTGATTTTCACTGTGCGTCGTTAGATTTTCGAAGTTGCGTTGTTTTGGATTCGAGTCTTTAATTTTTTTTAAAATTCTTTTGCTAAAATTGCAACTCCTTTGTTTTTGATTGCGCCTTCACATATTTTCACTTTGCGTCGTTTCAATTTGCGTCGTGTTTTTTTTGGAACGTAACTCCGACGCAAAGCGAGGTATGGGTGTACTGTAACTGATAATAAGGATTATATAGCTACATCAAACAATATTCTATTTTTAGAAAGTCGTGTATGTATATAAGTAGAAATAGGATTCAAAATAACCATTTCCCTGAAGAGAGTGACAGGAATTCACAGAAACGTCGGGAGTTGGAATAAACTATTAGTTGATGTAGCTGTGTTTTCCAAACCAACTTCTAACCAACAAATGATATTTAAAGATATACACAAGAAATGAAATCATTAAAGCACGAATGATTCTTTTAGATAATGTTATGTATTCTTTTACCTCTACTGCCATAGTACATTGAAAACATCGTTTCTTGTCCGATCACGAAGTTAAGCAATGTCGGTCCCAGTCAGTACTTGGGAGGGTGACCACTTAGGACCACCTGATGCCTTTTACTCTTAAACCTAATATTCGATAATCTTAGGTAGTGTAGTTTCTATTAAAAGAGATTGTATGCTACTGTTATATATTTGTATAATATTTTATTATTACAGAATTATCATAAGAACTAAAAACATGAATATCTCACGCTCTATATTGATTACATCACGCAACAACAACCAAGTCTTTGGTCAAAACCATATATAGATATTATATATTACAGACATAAAACAAACTTTTCTACTATCCTTACTTCGATGAAAAATAAATTTAGAGGGCTTGGTTCATCAGTGGTAAACTCTCCTAGTGGTTTCGTCAATTTAATCTACAAGACCGCTTTTTATAGCTCCAATACTGTATTTACACACTATTTATTTATTTATTGTTACAAAAGCACGAAGTCCAAAGGACTATTGTGCTGAGCTAGTATTATTTACATATATATGATTAAATATTTACACGAAGGATTAGTAGTGTTTTGTAAATTATTGTACAAATAGTTCTAAACTTAACAAAGTTCTCATAAGATAGAGTATATACACAAAGAGAATTTGGTAATGTTTCAAAGTATCTACATACAATTTGATTAGTCAGGGGGCAAGTTAAAAGAAGATGCTCTGGTGATTCAAATCTAAGCGGCATTCACATGTTGGATCATTGATAGCATTCAGTTTGAATAGGAAACTTAAGAAGGGTCCTTTGCCTGTTAAGAATAAAGTAGTGAATTTATCAGAAGAAATGAAATTTGGGACAGCAATTGGAAAGAATTTATTGAACAATTCATTAGATTGAGAAAGATAAAACTTAAATTTTAGATCCAGATATAGTTTATTTAATTCTTTTTGAAAGGGTTTTTTGAGTGTTTGATCTTGCTATGTAATACACTCTCTAACACAATCAGCAGAGGTTCTACAACTGTCTTTAGTTAACCTATTGATGACCATATATTTTTAGCCATCACGATTCTCAACCACATCTTTCTGCATGTTATTTTTTTTTCATAAATCTCACAAAAGAAGTTCTATGTCTATTCTAAATATCGAATTTGATAATTATAAGAAGATTATAAATATAGGTTTTATTTTGGATAAAATAATTATGTTAAATTTTCCAATATATTTCTCTAAGAATTAATTGTCTATCTTTTATAAGTTTTGTTTGTGTGTGTGTTTTGTTCTGAAGTGTAAGTGTGGCAGATGTAACCACAATCTTCGTGGGCTTCAAAATAGAACTAAAAAAAAAATCCGTAAAAGATGATCGATTATTCATCGAAATATTGTCAACTACAAAATAAATTAAGAAAAATGTATATCCTGATCGTACAACAATACAAAGTTGCTGATGACTTGCGACAAATGACGTAAATCTTCCTTTCACTCGAGACCGAGAATCATCTACCTCTTAAAAACATAATAATCTTATGACTATCACAAATCTTTTGATTTTACATTAAAATACAGTAAAACCTCCCTTTAGCGGACATCCCGCTAGCAGACACCTCTCCACAAAGAACAGTTTTCATTTGCAAAATTACAATTTTTACAAATAAACTCTCTGGTAAGAAGACACCTCTCTCTAAAGGACACTTTGGCTCTGTAATTAGGTGTTATCCTTTAAAGGGAAATTCTACTGTATAATAATTCACAGTATAATTTAATTTTACTACTCATTTCTTGACATTTTTGTAACTGTAAATATTCAACAAAAGATAGAAATCTAAGTTATATCTGTTTTTATTATTTTCTGGTTTAAAATAATTGATTTCTGTTTACTAAATACGATTAAAATTCTGTTGAAAAAACACCAATATTTCCACCGCAGATGTTTCTGGAAGATTCCAATCGATTATCAGTGAAAGAAAAGATAGCAAGGTCTATGAACGGCGAGGTCGGTTTTTGACCAAGGACCGAAGTCCTAGATAATCTTGTCAGATGGCCTAAATAGAAAGAATTGGGTCGTTATAAAGACGTAGTCAACACTCTGATCTTTTTCATGTTAAGATTAAAAGTCGATTATTGTAGATGGGCCTGCCTCTTGTTATATGACTTGAAAAAGGATTTTGTGTGTAACCTATTTACCTAATGACGATTTTAAAGATACTTCGGCCAGTATAAATTATATATTTAATTTTAAGAACTATGAATGCCAGCCAGGCAGGCAGCCTCTATATTTAGGTTAAAGATTTTAGTTTATATATGTTTGTTACGTTCACCTTTAGGAAAGACAAACTTCAGTATGACACAGCAATTTATTTAAGAACAAATCAACATTTATAAAATACCAGAAAGGCAATGAAGGAAGTTTATACAGAGTAGAAAATATAAATATAATAATGAATAATCTGTTCATAAAATAATAAATACTTTGCTACGTAGTTCCTTCCTAATAGGAGCTGTGACCCTCAGCTTGAGAATATTGTTGTTTCTGACATGGATCTAACGTTCTTCTGCCAAGAAATGACTTTTATTTATTTACCAGTTGCAAACAATACACGCTATATCCGATCTAGATAATTGCGCGTGAAACTATTTACAATAATTCATATTGTAGTAGAGTAGGTAACAGAATTATCAAAAAGAAAATAAACAATTAAGAAAAAGAGCATTAAATAAACATATCCATTAAACAAATAAGCAACAACATAAGCAGATAGAAGAAATCAAAAGGTAGTTATTTACAGTATGTTAAGCAATGATGGAAGTTGATGAAGTTATCTGTAATAATTAGTATCGTGAAGAGAGAAAGTTGATCAAGTTGAGCTATTTACAATGAGTTGATGAGAATTGACTTGGATTCTTGGAAATTTTCCCTAGTAGCTTTACGTCCTTTCTCTTGCGGCGTTATGAGAGGCTTTGTTGTCATATCGCTAATAGGGACATTGTCATCTTGGAGGAAAGTCTTGGTTATGACATGGCGATGGAATCCTGGAGCCATTCTTAGAAAAAAATGTAGAACGCAGCAACCATGGTCTCAAGGCCTTCTAGGCAATCTTCAGTTTATCTTCTCTAATCTACCCAGTATCTCCACCAAAATCTCACGTAGTAAATTAGGAAAGACAAACATCAGGATGAAACAGCAGTTTATTTAAAGCCAGAACACTCTCTCTCTCTTTTGATAAGGCAAGAACAAATAACAACAACAACAAAAAGCCTTTATTTAGGGTCACTGACCCTATACAGGATTCACCAGAGGTATGCATAGGAACAAAGCAGTGAGACAAAGGAAATAACGATATAGACAGAAGAAAAAGAAAAAAACAAGAAAGAGAAAGAGGGAAGCAAGAAAAACAACACAAAAAGAGTAGCAGTAAGAAAGTGAGGAGTGAGTGTCACTTGGCCTTTTTCTGAGATATGGACTTGTGGAAACCATAAAAGGCCGTAGCAATATACTTATTCTGGGTCATATTGTCAATTATTGATGGGCAAGAACAAATAAACATTTATAAAATACCAGAGAGGCAATTAAGGAAGTTTACAGAATAAAAAATATAAATATTATAATTAATAATATGTTCATAAAATAATAAATAATTTGCAGCAATATTATGAATTGATAGGGTCATACATAGGTCAGACCTAGATCTACAGGGTGATCCAAAAGTCCCGCACAACTTTAAAAATTAATAACTCCGCGAATATTTGCGCTAGAGCAATGCGGTAAACACCATTGTGTTCAGAATGCAATGGGATTTTTTATGGCAAATATTGAAAATTTCGAAATTGATTTTAGTTACAATTTCATTCCCTAGATGGCGCTGTACCAGAATCAGAAATTCAGCGGCCAAATTGTTTGATTAATTGAAAAATATAACTGATCGACACGTATTTTTCCTTTTTGTATACCAGGAAAGAATCCTAATAATATCAAATCGTTAATTAATAAAGCACCATTTTTTCAAAAGTTTGAAGAAATGGTTAACGATTTTTAAATACAATCTGAGATATGTAAAATAGGTATATGCAAATTAAAACATGTAGCAAAAAATATTTATATTTTTGATAGAGTTTTGTCAAATATATTGAATGTTTGAAAAACATAGCTGAATTCAATACACGATTTTTTGAAATGTTAATATAGTACCAAAAATTATGATGGTACTACTAATAGGATTTCTTGCTATAAGGAATGTGTAATTTCTTGAATAATTGGCGACACTCGACTATTTAACTGGAAATTTGTCATGATCCAACAAATGAAATATAGATGGGAGTGACAAAATACATTGTCGTACTTTATTCCAAATATCCTATGGGCTTGTCAAATGTTATCATTGTTTATTATACTGTACACGATTTTTAAAAATGTATCCCCTCAAATAAATATAATTTTTAAATCAACCTTTTGCGTTGAAAAACGTGGTAGTAAAATCATTTTGTATTATTTTATTTTGCCCAAAATTTCTAAAGGTGGGGGGTTACAGAGAATATTCCTTATGCTATTTCTTTTAATGAGCGAAAAGCGATAAATTAAACATAAGGGGTAAAATTGTGTGTACAGTGTTATTCGAGAAGTTATAACACTTTGGTCTGCATGACATAATATAAGATGTGAGCAAATGACAAACAAACAAAAATTACTGTTCACAAATAAAAAAGAGACAAGATATGAGGACAGAATTTATTTACCCATAACCCAACACAAAGAGCTTCAAAATATTGGTAGATAATATAATACATGGCAGCTTATATAACACATAAGGTAACTTGTCTCTTGGAGGCCTTGTCTCTTGTATTAGATCACAATCCTTGCTCAATGTGGCGCCCTTCATTCTCAAACACCGTCTGCAGACGATAGATGACAGAATGGACAGCATTAAATAACATATCTGTTGAAATTTATGAAACGTGCCGTCTGATAGAAGCCTTCAACATGGCCAATGTGGTAGGCCGGCATCGATAAACACGCGACTTAATGTACCCCCATAGCCAAAAATCGCAAGGCGTCAAGTCTGGTGATCTTGAAGGCCACTGGTGTATAAAGTGGCGACTTATCACACGATCTTCACCGAACGTAT